ATATTCTTGATATTGTATTTTCTATCTCTATCACCGCTGTTCGTTGGTGAAGAAATGAAATAATATATCGAATTAAGTATTCTGGAAGGCGAAGATCGTGAAGTTTGTATATTAGCCCCTCATACCACACTGAGTCGAATGCTGCTTTTATATCAAAAAATATAACTGCAGCATGTTGACGTTTATGAAGTTGTTCATGCGCGAATCTTTCAAGTCTAATAATGTTATACATTGTGCTTCTATTAGGTCGGAAGCCTGCTTGATGAATCGGCAAAATATTTCTTTCGTTTAGTTCTTTCATTATTCGTTGTTTGATAATTTTTTCTAAGATTTTTCCTAAACAGCTTAAGAGACTGATTGGACGATAGCTGGATGGTTGCTTTTTGTCTTTATTTGGCTTAAGCAAGAGAATGATGTTGGCTCTTTTCCAGATATCAGGTATATATCCGGTATCAATAACAATATTAAAGATCTTTTCGAGATGTTGAACTAATGATGTTGTATAATTTTTCAGGCAGCGATTATGTATTGTATCTGGTCCGGGTGAGCTATTAGGCAGTTGTTTAAGTATTAATTTTATTTCTTTAGTTGATATTGGAGGTGGTTTATTTTTATTTGTTTGTTTTTTCCCTCTGACTCTTTTTTTAATTGATTCCACCTGTCTTCGGACTTGATCATGAAATGGTAATCGATCAGGCTTTTCAACAAAAATCTCATTTTCAAAGTATGATGCAAACATATCAGCTTTTTCATAGTCGGTGTTGGCAGTGATATTTTGATATCTGAGTTCACCTGTATATGACTGCTTCGTTCTTCTATTGTAGAATTTACGCACTGCTGCCCACACTTTAGAAGAATTCATCTTGTTTGCACATAATGATGACATGGTACGATTAAGACGATCAATACGATCATTTCGGAGTGAATTGTTTAATAATTCTCTTTTCTTATAGAAGTCCTTTTTGTCGGCATCATTGTTCGTTTTTTTCCACTGTCGATATGCACGATGCTTATTTTCAATGAGATTTTTAGTTACTTTTGAGATTTTGAAACTTTTAATTGTTTCATTCACTGATGGAATTGCTGCCTTCGTTGCTAAGACTATGCTTTCTGTCAAGGCAGTAGCATATGTTTCAATTTGTTGTGTTGTTGTAATTGTTTGTTTTAAATCAATTTTACTCAAAAATTCATTCAATTTAATTCTATATAATTTCCAATTCGCAGCATTAAAATTGTATGACATTCGAGGGGATATTGGTTTAAGTTCAGCCGACAAGTTTAAGTTTAAGGTTAGTGGTTTGTGATCTTCTTTCAATCCAAAAGATGGATGTGTTTCAACATTGTTAATGAATAGGATGGTGGGTTGGCAAGCAAGAATCCAGTCAATTTTCTCTTCGTAACTGTTTCTTGCATAGGTTGTAAGATCATTCTCTATACATTGGAGATATCCCTCTTCTAGTATTTGCTATAGTTGAATACCTTTAGTATTTGTTCTTTTAGATCCCATAGGATGAAGTGCAGCATTTAGATCACCTAATATAAGACAATTATTATTCAAATTATAGATATGTTCAAATAATTCGGGTTGTAATTTAACATCTGGTGGAATATATATTGATGCAACAAGCAGATGTCCACCTGGTGTTTTAATTTGTACAGCTATTGTTTCATTATCTCCGATTGTTTTGTTAAAAATTTCAAAACATTTAATATTATTACGTATTGCTAGTAAAACTCCACCTCCTTGTTTATTTTGTCTATCGTTTCTATAGATATTATATCCGGGAAGTGAAAATAGTTGTTGTGGTTTTAAATTGGTTTCGTTAATTGACAGAATATCGAATTTGTTGAACCTGGCCAATAGCTCATCTTTGTGTTTCTTGATAGATGTGACATTACAATGCATTATTTTAATCATTTTTTTTTTTTTTGTATTATATTTTCGAACTGTTATGTTTACTCAACTGTATTTGCTGATTTACCTGATAAGCTGCTTGGTGAGATATATTCTCGTTTATTTCCATTAATAGGTATTGTTGATGGAGCTACATTCTTATTTTGAATTTCTTCTGTTGGTCGATCTTGTACTATTCGATATTGTGTTGTTGTTATTTTCGAATTGTTATAGGTTTTTTGTTTATTATCTTCTTTTTCGATGGATATATCTTCGATTTCAATGTTAAGTTTGTTTCCAAGTTGATTAGTCGATATTTCGAACTTTCGATTTAGAGCTTCAAAGATCCTTTCTGTTGCTTGTTCAATAACAAGCATTATTTTTTCTGTGAGTGTTTCAATGATTGATATTTGATCTATTTTTTCCGTGATTTTAAATGATGGAAATTCATCAACATTCTTCCAGTTAGGACAAGTTTGTGCTGATTTAATTTGTTTTGTTGTTGATGAATATTGATCAATGGTTTTTTGAATTTTCTGTTGATATTCTTTGAATTTTGGACAATCTGCAGATGTTGCAGCATGTTCTCCTTTGCAATTACAACATATAGGTTGTTGGTTGCTGTTGGGACAATTATCATACTTATGATCAAGAGTTCCACATCTCGAGCATACCTGGTTTTCTGATTTACAGTATTTTGCCACATGTCCATATTTGAAACACTTGTAACATTGACAAGGTTTATTATTATACGCAGCTGCTTCAACTATAAAATGCATCGAGTCGATTTGTAATCCAAGTTTGACAAATAGATCTCTATTAAAAGAGTCTAAAAAAGTGATTTTTACTGTTTTGAGAGGCTTCTTTTCTTTGTTTATTAAACGTATGATTTTTTCATATTTATATCCCTGATCATCTAGGGTTTGTTTAATATCTTCTTCACTTATTTCTAAATCAATCTTTTTGACAAACGCTTCTTTGTTATTTTCCAATATTCTTTGAATAGAACGCGGAATGAATACAACAGCACGTTGATTTTCATTTGCTTGAATAGTCGATGATAGTTCGTTTAATATTCTATTGAAAGATTTCACATCTTCGGGGTATAGTGTGAATGAGTTTGGTCGATTAGTTTGTATGTCAGAGATTTTAACATCTGATAAATAATTTTTAATGATAAGGTTTAATTTAACTTTTGTAAGTGATTCAGTTTCAACTATCAGTGGTGCAACTACAAAACTCGGTTTTGTTTTTGTTATTTGTTGTTCTTCACCTACAGTTGTTGATATTTGTGACGAATTGACGGTTGATCCAATAGTCCTTAAATTGACCTGCTCAGTTTTCTTACGACCCCGTGTAGCTCCGCCTCTTTTTGGCGGCATGTTAATTTATTGTTATTGTACTATGTTAAATGATGTATCAATTATTCTATTAAACCTTTATTTTTATTCTAATTAAATAAAATTAATTAAGTTTAATATTTTCTTGATTTTCACTTGATTGACCTTTTAGTGCAAACGAGAGAAGAGAAGAAGTGATATATACGTCTAATCGATAGGGCGTCAGAAAGAGGAATGGCTTTGTATTTGCATAGATAAAACCAAATGATCTCATACCGTGAATTTGGCTATAATATGAGTACACCTTTTGCCTGAGACAACTAACTCAAACCAACGTTTTTTTCTTCCACGATCTCAAGTGTTCGTTGGGTACTCTCTCTAACTGCTCAGTGACACATTTTGCTTGCAGATTGCATATATTAAAAAGCTTCTTTTAGAATGGTCTATTACTGGTAGTATGATTACTGTCCGAACTGACCATACAGCATCCATATTAACAAATGGGAATGTGTTAGTTGCTGGTGGTGGTCATCGTACTCATTTAAGTAGTGCTGAATTATATGATCCATCGACTGGAACTTGGACAAATACTGGTAGTATGAATGAGGCACGAGATAGGCACATAGCATCCTTATTAACAAATGGAAAAGTGTTAGTTGCTGGTGGAGCTAACAGTAGAAGTGATCATATGAATACTGCTGAGGTGTATGATCCATCAACGGGAACTTGGACAACTACTGGTAGCATGAATGACGCACGACTGTTGCCCATCGCATCCGTATTAACAAATGGAAAAGTATTAGTTATTGGTGGACATGGTAATGTTGGTAATAACATTCTGAATAGTGCTGAATTGTATGATTCATCAACAGAAACTTGGACAAAAACTGGTGACATGAATAGGGCACGAGCTGGGCACACAGCGTCCTTATTAACAAATGGAAAAGTGTTAGTTGTTGGTGGGGATGAGGGTAAGCACGAGGGTTCTCTGAATAGTGCTGAATTGTATGATCCATCAACGGGAACTTGGACAGTTACTGGTAGTATGAATTATGGTCGCGAGTCTCATACAGCATCCACATTAGAAAATGGGAAAGTGCTAGTTGTTGGTGGCTATGGTAATTTTGGTCCTGTGAATAGTGCTGAATTGTATGATCCATCAACAGGAACTTGGACAACTGCTGGTAGTATGAATGATGCACGAGTATATCACACAGCATCCATATTACTCAATGGGAAAGTGATAGTTACTGGCGGATCTACTGCGGGTGAGAGTGATCCTCTGAATAGTGCTGAATTATATGATCCATCAACAGAAAATTGGACAACCACTGAGAGCATGAAGGAGGCACGAGAGCAGCACATTGCATGCAGATTAATAAATGGTAAAGTGTTAGTGACCGGTGGTAATCCGGATACTGTTGAGTTGTATAATCCATAATAGACACAGTACATTAGTGATAAATAGTTTGTTCGCTATTGATAAATGGTGTTTATCTTTCACGTAATATTCGAATAGTCGAACTTTTTTATTCTAATAAAATGAAATTGTATCCTTCGAAGTCAATATGAAACTGTCGTGCCTTAGAATAATTCAGTTTATCATGATGAAATATTTCTGTTACTATGGTTCTGAGAGCTCGTTGATAAGGAGGGACAAAATCATGGTTATTCAAATAAATTTTAGTTCGTTGGAGATCTGATTAGGTTTATATTTATTTTGTTGAATAGAGACAAAATTGAAGTTCGAAAATAACTTTCATTGGTTTTATGATAATATTCAATGTTCCTCAAAGATTTCTAGTCACCATTGGAAACTAAACAGTTTTCCTGTTTCTTAGTCTTTTGAAGTTCCTGTAGTCGTTTTGAAGTTCCTGTAGTCGTTTTGAGAAGAGACTCCAGCTGTTGATCCACGTTATGTTCAGTGATTGATTTTGTTTGATTGTTCAAAAGAACGAATCACCACTGAAAACAGTTCCAAATGTGTTGTGGAAAATGATATGGTATTTAAAAATATTATTGTGATAAAAGAGTGTATTAGCTAAGATATGACCTCTTCGATGTCTCTATAACTTGACTTGAACCTTAACCGAGGAGATCATTCGATTGTCTTCAGTATTTGAGCACGATGTTCATCACCTTGATCCATTATCAAAATGAAATAAAGGAGAATTGGATTGAGAATCGAGTTGTTGAATGCGAATGTCCTTATCAATGATTGATCCTCTATATGACACACACGAATCGAATTTTGCTGAAATGAAAAAAATTTGATTTTCGTCTAGGATTGATTATCGTATTAACACATTGAACGCCATTTGATTCTACGGGATAGCAAATAATATTTTTCCAGGAATACCGCTCCAAATACTAATGATATCAACATTGAATTTTATACCAAACGAAAGCTCGTCGAACACGGGATTTAGCAGTATAAATAGTTATTCATAGAATGAGTATGAGTTAAAGAATTACCAAAAGTTTCAAAATTTCAGACATATAATTGAGGATTTTCATGGATAGTCAACCACGAAAACAAATAGATCCCAGGAAATTTCTTATCTATCAGACTTTGTAGAGCTCTCTTTGCCGATCATTTTAATAAAAAGATTTTTTAAGTTTGATAAATAAATGATGGCGCTAGAGTCAAAATATTAAAAAAAAATGATAGCTCTAGCAGACAGAGCTGTCTCAATTTTTCAGTATTTTCATCCTAGCACCGTCATTTATTTATCAAATTTAAAAAATCTTTTTATCAAAATGATCTGCAAAGAGGGCTCCATAAACTCTGATAGACGAAAAATTTTTTGAGAACCGACTGATAGGAGTGTCAGGGTTCTCGTTCCTTGGGATTCTGTTCTCAAGGAACGCGAACACACTTCGAATCGTCTTTCAGCATGTTCGACCACAAGAGACTGGTTATATCGTTTTGTTGAAACTTTTCTGGTCAGCTGATACGGGTTTCGGGATTTCTGGGAACGGGAACCCAAATGTGTTCTGGGTTCTTGGGAATCCGGAACCCAGAACCCATTTGAGTTCACGTGTCTAGGAACCTGAAATCCGTACCAGCTGACCAGAAAAGTTTCAACAAAACGATATAAATAGTCTCTTGTGGACGAACATGCTTAATGACGATTCGAAGTGCGTTCGCGTTCTTTGAGAGCGGAACCCGGAAGAACGCAGATCCTGATATCCTTAGCCAGCAGCACTGATCTGAGTACTCTGAAAGACTCAACTTTTTGGACAGAAAATCATGTGTTTCCACTTAAGAGAGGGCCCGCCAGAGAACCCCCCTTACTCTAACAGAGAGGCGCCGGGAAAAAATGTTTTTTTCGATTCTAGTATCTTAAATGAAAGATCTAGTCAAACCATATTCAAATCCAAAATATTAAGTCATTTGCTTTTGTCTATCAAAAACGCTAGCTAAAACAAGTTTTAAGGGCTTACTTTGAGCCCAAAAATCGCTATTTGGAGGGTGTGTTCAGTATTTTGACATTATCTCAGCACCGTGTTGATCGTTAGAGCTCGGAGACGTCGCATTTGATAGATAACAGTATAGGCTACAAATTCATGCTATTTAAGTTACTAATATGTTGGATTAAAAGAGCGCTATGGATCAAAAATTGTCGAAAACTTGATAAATGTGCTCTTCCAAGAAGGCAGTATTTTGAACTTTTCTGACATGGTGCAAGAGATGCTACAGTTCTTTTTTTCACTAGGCATAGATCCAATCAAGACACATCTTGTGACATTAAATTGTCCAATGTAAAAAACTGGGTGACCAAGTTAGCATGGACCACAGTATGGTCTATCGTACATAATGACCATTAACCCCAGCCCTGGAAACGAAAGAATTTTTTTAGAAATCTTGAAAACTGATTTCAGATAAAATGCTAGCTTCGCCCCCGAGTTTTTTACATTGAACAATTTACTATCAAAAGATGTGTCTTCATGAGATCTATGTCTGGTTAAAAAAGAACTGCGACATCTCTTTTACAGTGTGAGAAAAGTGCAAAATACTGCCATCCTGGAAGAACACATTTCTCAAGTTTTTGACAATTTTTGATCTAGTGTTTTTTTAATCCTATGTATTAGTGTGGGTGTGGGGTGTGGGTGTGGGTGTGGGTGGGTGGGTGTGCGTGTGGGTGTGAGTGTGGGTGTGGATCTTCTATTTATCATCACAAACGCCCACACCCACACCCACACATCCCACACCCTATGAAAGAGCAAAATCCTTGCTGTATATATGTTTAGATAGCCTTTTATCTGTACTACATTTTTTGTATTGATATCAACTAAAAATAAATTCGTAGTTTGAGTGATATGAATACTTTTCTTTGATTACTCATCAAAACTCTATGCTTTCGCGTAAAATTACTTATAAAAGGAATGTCATGTGATTAGCACATTGTGTCCTATCCTGATTGTTAGAAAAGAAA